AGTGCAGTGATAAAAATCAGGCCTGCTTTCTCTTCGCACATTTACATTCTCCTCTTTTTTCTCTTCTGCGCTTTTTTTATAATATTATTATATTTCATTTATCTATGCTGTAATCATTTATGTTTAACTCGCATATTCTAACGAGCTTATCTCTAAAAAAATATATGTATATATATTGCGCCGAAGTCTCTCCCGTACTTCAGGCCACCTCGATCGCCAAGAAATCAGATCACAAAAGAGAATTTCCCTACAATATAATGGTTTTATGTTCAGGGCATCTATCAGAACAAATCAGAATGAATTTTGATCGGAATTATTTCGTTTTCCCTAGATTTCTATTGTGTTTAAAAAAGGGAATAATTCCAATCGAAATTTCATTCTGAATAATTCTATAATACATCTTATAGTTCAGAGTTTTTAACACTTCTGTCATTTCTCAATAAAGTTGTCATTCTCGTTGTACTGTTGTGCACATTTATTTCAGTGCGATTAATGTTCTCCATGTAAAACGTGCGAGCGTTAACAATATATATATATATATATACACATATATTGTAAGTATCTATATGTATAAAAAAATTCTTCTTTAAACGCGTTTATGGTAATTTACTCACGATATGAGATATAAGTAATTAACAACAGGTTAAGTTTCAGACTTCTTGATGAAATAACTAGGTCTAGACTGATATAAAAATAATGTATCATGCAATGTAATAATACTGTAACAGCAGTTGCGCCGTGATCCGAGTTTTACAAATTTTCATTGCTTGCTGAACTGGCGATAATCGCGCATCAAAGTAGCAGGGAACGTGGTTATTAAAATGAAAGATAAGTAGATAGAACTGTACAGCTTGCAGAACGATTATTAATTTAATGTGCCGCCAACGCATTTTCGCCAGTCTGAATACTCTAATATTCTATTGACATTCTCGTAAATCTGATAATCTTTATCGTTCTTATTTATTTACGTGTATATTTATTTTTTTTTTTATCTTCAAATTAACTTCTGAATTTTAACCATTCCTAGATCTACTATATATATCTAGCTTAATTAACATTTAATTAATTTTAGATTTCATTTGCATTATAATATCCTAAACCATGACGTCCTATAATTTTACAGAATAAAATAAATTTTATAGAATAAAATAAAATTTCAATGCGAACAGAATGTAGAATACGGTGATAAACATGTGAGAGAGTAGACGATTATGAATTTTAAATTCTCAAACTGCGCGTTCCACTTTTTTTTCTTGTTTTTAAAATCAGAATTTGGCCTAATAATTGTAAAAACTGTCGGAATCTTCATGATCAAATCATAGTGTTCATCAGACGCAATTGCAAGAAGTTAACTCGTGGATACATCAAAATGCCGTGAATCCACGATTCTGATAACAGTTATGAGCGACGGAAGTTAGAACCTCCGCCATCGCTTTGCCGGTCTCCTGCACCATGCTCTTCAGATAGCCCGTGTCTTTTTGCAGCAGCACGTGAGGATGATCGAATTCCTGTGTACGATATAATATAAAAATTTGCGTTTAAAAGATAGTTTATATCGAGACTAATACATAAATAAGAAATGAAGCATTTTCTTAATCAGTATTAGCTATATATAGTCAAAGATTTTGTAATTCAACTAATAAATGATTTACTCAACAAAACTCTAACGAAACAGTACAAAAATGATCAAAGGATAAATTCGTAGGATTTCATACAAGAAAATATAATATTTATATAAATCCAAGTATAATTTATGTTGTTTTAAAAGATGGTAAAAAAAATTTCATAATCTGGAACGAGAAATATAAAATATGTCACAAGAATGATAGATAAATTCGTTACATTGATTTTCCACAAACATAGAAAGAAAGAAAGCTTTTGTGATCTGCTTAAATTCATTTGATGGGTCGCTCTAATCATAAAATTCGTAAAAAGACAAAATAAAGAAAAATTGGCTCACCACCACGTTACCGGCGTCCATCACCAAGATACGATCGCTATCCATAACAGTGTTGAGTCGATGAGCAATCGTTAACACTGTACACTTCTCGAATTTTTTCCTGATAGTTGTCTGAATGAATTCGTCTGTTCGCGGGTCCACATTCGCGGTCGCCTCATCCAGTACGAGTATTGGATTATTCCTCACAATAGCTCGCGCCAAGCAGACCAATTGTCGTTGGCCGACGCTGAGATTGGAACCGCCCTCATTAATGTGGGCTTCCAAGCCCATCTCCTTCAACTCGACTTCCTCAAGAGCTCGCCATAGTGGTTCGTCCATATACGAGTCGAACGGATCGAGGTTCCGTCTTAGGCTGCCAGAAAATAGGAACGGTTCTTGAGGGATAATACTGATCTTGGAACGCAAATCGTGCAAGCCGATCTGGTTTGTGTCGACTTCATCAATCTCAATCAGACCGTCCATGTCGGACAGGCGGAAGAGTGCCTGGATTAAGGATGACTTGCCAGCGCCGGTCCTACCAACGATGCCAATTTTCTCCCGCGGAAAGATAATAAAGTTGAGATTCTTAAGTACCGGCGGCTCCAGCGGTGCGTAGCGCAAAAACACGTTCTTGAACTCGATCTTGCCTTCCTGCGGCCATTCGGGCTTGGGTTTTTTATCAGGAGCACTTTCGAGAGGAGGCTCGCTGTCCACTTTGCTGGAAAAAGATTGAAAATCTATATTAACTGGATGTTATTTTACATTTTGACTGCTGCACGGATTTTTATCCAGTCCTAGAATCTAATGTTTTTCAAAATATTCGTGGTAATTCGATCCGAGTATATAAAGATATGCACGCGACGTGGAGTCGAGGAGAATAAATATCAAAGATATTAAAAAATGAGTTAAGTACTTGTACTCAAGGATACGCTCCACCGAAGTCATTTGGTTCTCCAATTCTGCGCTCTGACGCATGCCCCACTGGAACATCCCGGTGAGACCGATACTCTGCGTGATCGCCAGGCCTACATATCCGCCATCCATTGAACCTTGACTGTAGTTGTCTAGCACGAGAAAACTCAGCGTGACCAACGTGATATACAGCACGCAGAAAACATCCAGCCAAAAACCGAAGGCGCGCGAGGTCGAGATAAAGATATACCATGCGGACGAATGAATATCCTGGTAATTATCAAACTCCTTCGTGAGAATCGTTTCCGCCCCAAACGCGCGAATCGTCGATAACCCTTGAAGTGTCGCGCTCAGGTGAGCAAAGACCGGCGAACGTGCTAAGAAAAATTAGAAATTCCATTCAGTTTACCCGAAGAATTAAAATTTAATCGTAAATTAAAAATGAAATTAATGATGTGGTTTCTATCTGTGATGGAATTTATCTTATTCTATCGAAGACACTATGTCTATTCTATCAAAAGATGGATTTGCGATACTCACTGATGCCTTCAAGACGCTTGACGCTACGACTGGTGGCCAGATAGAAGATTCTCATGTAATAAAAGACAATACCAATTAGCACCGTGGGTATCAGCAGCCACACGTTCGCGGTGGCTACCACAATGATAATACCCAGCAGCGCTATACCGATCTGAAGACAGTCAATAAACGCAGCGGGCAGCATCTCATCAACCGCTCCCATGTCTTTGGAAAAGCGATTGAGTACACGTCCCGATGTATTAGTGTTGAAGAATCGCATAGTGGCGCGACTGATGCTGCGAAACATGCGATCGTGTAAACACATTGAAGCCCTCATGCATGTCCAAAAAAACGTCCATGAGCGGATGAGGGTGATGATGATTGTTAGCACAATCAACCCACTGTAAATGTAGATGCACTGCATGCGGGTGAGAGGACTATTTGAGTTTTCTACAACACCGTCGTCCGTTTCGTTCATCTATAAAATGATATAATTAATAATTCCTATATAATCAATATGCGGAACAATCTGTAGAGACTTTTTTATAAATCTTGTTTTATTCACGTACTTAAAAATAAAACTTCTCCCTCTTAAAAATTTCGTATTTTAATTTTAAGGAAAAGTCCTTGTTCTTTTTTTTGAGAATTAAATTACAAATTTGAATTTTTTCCGGCAATAATAATTACTTATTTTCAAATTCTTTATATATAATATTATAATAAAAACTGACACAATCTTAGAAACAATTTTGAACAAAACTAGAATTGAAAGTGATGTAATAACTAAATAATAAATATATTATTTATTGTACACATAGTGACGCACTAACATAGTTTTCCTCTATATTAATCCATTGAGCGAGAAAAAAGTCACCGCCGCTAGCCGCAAATTGTGCTGTTATACAAAGCATAGCCACTATGAATATAATGTACCAATTGCCACCAGCACGAAAGTAATCCGTGTATACTTTACCGGAAACATTGCCTACCGTTCGCATTTCAGCCATCTGAAATTAACAATTAATACAATATGTTGTGATAATTTGGCATCAAAATATAAAATTATTCTATATATTATTCTACAATATATACATATATGTATATATATATGTGTGTTTGTGTGTGTGTGTGTGTGTGTGTGTGTGTGTGTGTGTGTGTGTGTGTGTGTGT